GAAGGCAAAAAAAAAAAGAATGGAAACAAGGAAACAAATCAGAGATGAAACAAACTGAAGTATTATTAAGATAGCAAGTTTAAATACAAACATTATTTATATTAAATTGACTAGATGTGCTAATTAAAAGTCTAAAATTATGAAGGTGGAATATAAATAAAAATACAACCATAGTGAGGTGTGATGGTGCATGCCTGTAATCACAGTTATTCAGGTGCAGAGTTAGGAGGATTGTGAACTTAGGACCATCCAGGGCAAAGTTAGTAAGAACTCTTTTTCAAAAACAAAGTAAAATCAACAGGGCTGAGCGTTATGATTCAGTGACAGAGTCCTTGCTTTGCAAGTGCCCCTGGGCTCAATACTTCATACTGAGGCAATATTAACAGCAACTACAATATGCTGCCTACAAAAGACATATCTAACTAAAAGGGTGCATAAAGGTTAAAAATAAAAAAGATAAAAGATATATCACAAAGACACTAACCAAAATAAAGCTGGCATAATTATACTAACAGCAGATTAAATAAACCTTAAGGCTATTTTATTTATCTCTAGTACCTTAGAGATAAAAGGGACATTTCATAATGACACAATAATCTGTATAACAGAATGACATAATCAGTGTTGTACTGGAGCTGACATGGACTACCTTCTCAGAGCCACTGTATGCATTTCTTCCTAGCTCCATGTCTAGTAATGTCAATTTAAAGCACTAAATCATCCACAATAGAGTATTTGCACCATAGAAATGGGCAAATGCTAAAAATTATGGATTGTCTTTCTTCCTTCTTGCATTGCATTTACCAGCATACCCCCAAATTAACTGAATGCAACTAATTATATGTATAAAGCAATAGAGGAGAGAACCAAAAGAAGTAACAGGTAAATCTACAATCATGATTGGATATTTGAGCACAACTATCTCATAAAATTGATAGGACAAAAAGACAATAAAGAATTTTCCCAATAAAGATAAGGAAAGAAGGATTTTAGTGACTTTTCCAAGTACCCAAAACACTGAGTGGAAGGGCAGGGACTGAATCAAGTTTTCTGCCTGTAAGTCTGACAGACTGCTATGGTTTATATTACAGAAAATATCTGTGATATTTGCCTTATAAAGACCACTGTCATTTGTATATTATTATATAAAAATGAGGAGAAAAGTAAGGCACACTTCTAAATAATGGATAAATACAGCTGTACTTCATTTTAAAGAAAGTCTTCATATTTAATACATAAAATAAAAAATATTTATGAAACAAATTATTGGGATAGCATGACTTTAAAGCAGCCTAATAATTTCACTAAGGGAGTTGGCACAACCTTCTTTGGCGATAACCATCCTGGAACCATTAAATATTTAATGATGATGACATTGGAGGTAATAGCAGCAGCTAGTGTTGAGAGACTGATAATTTTGTGTCTGGTACTATTTAAAGCATTTTCCCATGTTGACTTGTTGAATCCATTCAACAACCAAATGAGAAAAGTATTTTTATTATCTCCATTTAACTGCGAGGTTACTTGAGACAATGAGCACAAATCACACAGCTCATTTTCTGAACACTCTTAACCACTGACAGTGTTTAAATTGATTTGCCTTAAAGTTATTATTTCAGGAACATCCTTAAAACACAAACCATGATATTTCTGTTCTTTTTATATAACAATACTGGGCACTGAACTATGTTCCTTGCACTCAAGCAAGCACTGCACCACTTGAGCCATGACCCAGATCCTTTTGGTTTAGTTTGTTTTTAGATAGGATCCCTCACTTTTGTCTAGGCTGACCTCAGACCATGATTTTCCCTCCTCCTCCTAAGAACCTGGGATTACAGACATGTACCTCCATGCCTGGTTTGTATATACTTCTTAAATTCTACTTAGTAATATCATTTATATTTCTGAATGAAGTCATTACTTTTGGAACAAAAAGTATAGCACATAGAAACCAGATTATAGAATATGTTTTCTTTTCATTTAGAATCAAACCCTGAAAACACTTTTTCTTAAATAGGCAATCAGACCTTCGTTGACCCATTTCAAATTACACACAAACCATACATAATGAAGTTAATCATTGAAATATTTTTAAAGTATACTCCTCAGTGATATTGGTACACTGATATGGTAAAGCATCATTACCATGCATCTCCAGAATGTTGTCATCATCCCAAAGAGAAACTTTGTACTTAGAAAATTCCTACCTCTGGTAATCCTCATTCTGCTCTCTATCTGTACGAATTTGTCTACTCTTGGTACCTCATGTAAGTGAAATCATACACTACTTGTCCTTTTGTGTCTAGTTTAATTTTACTTAGCATAGTGTTTTCAAGGTTCATTCATGTATAGAATATATCTGAATTTCATCTTTTCTAAGGATGAATAATATTACATTGTATGTATATACCACATTTTCCTTATGCATTCATCTGTTGATTAAGAATTGAGTTGTTTTCACCCTTTGAGTTATTATGACTAATGTTCCTATGAACACTGGTGTACAAGTACCCATTTGAGTCTCTATTTTCAATTCTTTTGGGTATACACCTAGAAGTAAAATTGCTGAGTGATATGGTAATTCTATTTAACTTTTGAGGAACTGCCAAACTATTTTCCATAGTGGCCTGCAGCATTTTTGTGCAGGGTTTTCAGTTTCTCCACATCCTCATGAACACTTTTTCTTTTTCTTTTCTATTTTTTTTAAAAATAAAAGCCATCATAATGGGTGTAATTCCAACACTAACAATTAATTCTCCACATACCACTTATGATATCTAAAATTTAATTCAAATCTGACACTAACTACCTGGAGTTAGGATCAAATTCCACGTTTGAAAATTCAGTCCCACACATCTGCCCCTACTTCAGATGGTAAGTGCAAGTTCCAGGCCACCTGTAATTTTAACTAACCAACAATAAGTGGGTGGTTCCCATGACTTCTTAAGTTTGACAATTTGCTAGAACTTGGGGAAACATTTTGCTTATATTTTCTCTATTATAAAGGGTACAGGTCAGGATCAATTTGAAAGTATGGGTTGATTGTTTTTATGTTGTTGAGCTCAGGGTTTTAATTTTTACATATTAATCTCCTACCAGATACATATATTACAGGCATTCCCCATTCCACAGGCTGCTTCTTCCTTTTCTTGATGGTTGCTCTCTTCCCTTCCTTTAATGTACAAGATTATTTTTAAAAATTTTAATGTAGTCATATTTGTCTTTCTTCTTGTTGAGTGTTTTTGGCGTTATTTTAAGAAGTCATTGTCAAATCCAATTCTATGAAGATTTTCTCCTAAGAGATTTATAGTTTTAACTCTTACATTTATATATTTGATCCCATTTTGAATTAATTCTTACATATAATGTAAGGTATAAAGAGTCCAGCTTTTCCTTTGCATGTAGATATCTAGCTTTTCCAGCTCCATTTTTGAAAAGACTGTATTTTATCCATTGGATAGAGTTGACACCCTCATTGAAAATCATTTGAGCATAAGTGTTAAGAGTTTATTTCTGTACCATGGCCTCATTTTGTAAAAATAGGAAATAGGCTGTATAATCCTTCCGTGGGAATATAACAGATACTTTCTAATAGTGTAATTTTACATATTACACAATGTGAGGGGGGTTATCATGTGTAATAACATCATATGGTAACAAAAGAAGAAAAATATCACCCAAATAATTTAAAGCACATTTTTTTATTATAGATAGGTAAGCGTGATTTGCTGTGGCTAAAGGTATGTTGATAATAGATGAACAAGCTTTTCTATATAGCAGGAGGTATAATATTTTTCTTTTAATATTGAACCAATGTTTTTCTGACAACAAGGAAAGACTGAACTTGGCTAAGTCCATTTTAACTGGCAAAAGACTTTTCCTGGATGTTGCTTTAAAGATTGGTAAAATAAATTCTTTTAAGTGCTAACACACTGAATTTAAGAATAGTTAAAGAAAATAAATGAATATACAAAATGTATTTCTACATTTTCTACAAAAAGAAATATAAAGTTTTTATAATTTAAAACAGCAGCAGTTTCAAAATATTTGCTGAATTAAAACTTTACAAAATATATATACATAGTATCATTCCAGATGATCATGGATTTTTAAAATAGTATATCACAGCCCCTAACTTCTAGCCCAAACCTACTACTGGATGTAGCTGGCCAAAAATATTTTTTACAACAATTAAAAAAAAAAAAACCAAAAGAAACCTTCCAATTCTCTTGTGTATATGCACAGGTTACAATGTGCTGGCTTTGATTTTATATGCACAAAGAGAATTTTAAAATAAAACAAAGACTTCACATAAATAATTCTTTTACTTGTTATTAAGTATGTGAACAAACAAATTAAAATAAGTACTAACAATCAAAATGTATCCTGATGTAACCAGTACATACACTCTTCATGACAAAGATGAAAAAAGAAATAAAATAGTCTATGAAAGCCACAAGCACCTTGTTTTAGAAAGCACCAAGCAACACAAAAAGGCAACACATAAGAGGTAGTGTACCACTGGCTAAGATGTAACATGCCCATTGGGGACCTGAATACAGCTTAGTGTTTGGGAAAATAAGACATATTAGACTGTGGCTTGCAATTTTTAGACAGAAACATTGCACACTTGGGAGCATTAGCCAGTATTGCTCCATAGTGCTCTGCATCTCCAGCTGTCTAATGGGTACTTTACTCTCAGTCAAAAAATATAGGATACCCTGAAGATTTCCAAGTTTATAAACTTTCAGTTCTAGGAAATTCTGTAAGAAAGCTTAGATCAATAAAATTTTTCAAAGAATTAAATACTTTATCAATTATAGTACTTTAAAAATGCAATTTCTCCTTCTTAGGAGGAAGTGTTTTCTTCCTGAGATCGTTTAAGATTTAGCCAATGTCTTTATACCATTCATTTCATAATGACAGTATCTTTCTGTCTATATTTTTCCCTTTGCAGCAATTACCTGGCCAACAGCATGAATTCTGAACTAATCCAGAGATTAGAGAAAGCATACAGAACTGCTTTCAATGTGATACTTTCGTTCAGTTTTGAGATGAGGAAGTTTTTGTATTTCAACCACTGGAAGTTGATTAGGGTCCTGGGTATGGAAAAGGAATTTAGCCTTATGCCAGCTGCCATCCTGAATCTGTAAAATAAAAACAAAATGCTTTCATATGTAACTGTTTATTTAGCAATCATTCTCAGCAGACAATGCCCTTCATAGACAATGTAGATTTGTTTTAAGGTTTAGGGAATAGAAAACATTTAGAACAATGTTCAATAAATGGTAATAGCTACTATCAATAATGGGAAATGTAGATTTGTTCCTTTCTTTATAATAGTACTGTGTTTTGATTTTTCACTTCCAGAAGCTAGTGCCAGGCTTCTGCTTCTGTCTTTCATGGATCTTTGTATGAGACATGAATTGAAAGTCCACACCATTCCTAATATGAACCATACCCATCTGTTCTGTGTGCCCCTATGTGTGACTGATTCTTCAGGGTGGGCGTTTTTCTTGGGTGTGAGGGAATGAGTTATCTCAACCTCTGTACTTTAGGCAGGAAATACTGTCTTAATCAGAAATGGTTAAATTATGTTGAATCATCTTTTAGATTTCTTCCCCCCCATTTCTGTGGCTCTGCATTTATATAGTTTCCCTCTTTCCTCTCTTTTTCCTGGCTTCCGTTTCTCATATTACTACATATTCTGTTATTTTTGATAAATTCAGTGGAGCAAAAACATATCATGAATGTCCTATGATAAAGATTCAATAAGACAAAATAAGGGGTGGGAATATAGCTCAGTGATAGAGTGCTTGCCCAGGGTGCATAAGGCCCTGGGAGCAATCCCTTGCATTGCATGTAGATAAAATAGAGAAACACAATTGACTAGCTTTGTGGAACTTTTTGTTCAGAAGTTGGTTTTTTTTTTTTTTTACTTACTTGGAATTATCAAGGTCTGAGTTTTAAAATTTGTAGGTACTTTAAAGATTATTTATATTATAAATTTCATGTTAAACCTAAGGCCATTGAAGTTCATTGATAAGTAATTTGTCTAATGTCATAAACTTGATGTGATAACTAGACCTAGAATTCCTTGTGTAAGACATTGGTAGATTAATCCATTAATTTATTGTACATGAAGCATACTTAGCATAGATGAATAATACGTATCCTAAATTTTCCTACAGTGTCTAGAACATATAAGGGTGAATAAACTAGTTCTGGCTTCAGAATTAAGCAGCTTATAAATCTAGCTAGCAAGAGAAAAAGGATAAACAAATAAACATAATAGAAGACCCATATATGGCAAGTACAGTATAAATCATCAGACAATGAGTATAAATTCCTTGTTTCTAACTAGAATGGTCAGGGAAAGGCTTTATGAAAAAATTCAGAATTTAGATGGGTCTTAAAGTGAATCAAATTTTCACTTGATTATAGAAGCAGAGAAGGACACTTCAGAGAAAAGGCATGAGCAAAACAATACTACTCCCCATTCCCTGTCCCCCCCAAAAACAGATGGTAACATACAAGGTGGTAGGGAAAATGAGTGTAGCGTGGAGTTAAAACAGACTTTGGTCTGGGCATATTTTAATAGAAAACCAGGTACTACCACTTTCCTCACATATAAATGAGAATAATAAAAACCTACCTCACAAAACTGAAAATTAAATGAGATTTCAATTAAAAATCTCTAGCAGTACTATGAAACATGGGCTTTGGAGTTGTATGTACCTGGGATTGATATCTTGCTCCTTCACTAAGTAGGTGCATAACCTTATGCCAGTTACTTACCTCTCTGTGCCTTCATTTTCTTACCTATGAAATTAGACTATTCTTTCTTTATAAAGCTGTTATGTGATTAAATAATATGTATTTACTGCATAGCCACTTACCCAAAAACTAGTAGTAGGAGTTGTTACTATTATTGTAATAACAAATAGATCAGTTTGACCATAATTTAGACAGCCAGAAAGTCCAAGCTAGTTGGTGCCTGACTGTTATAAGTGCTGAATAGAATTAGTAAGTTTGGATTGTGTCTGAGTTACTAGTGAACCAGAAAACTGAAAGTTTCTGGGAAAGATTATAAAAGTTACATGAATTTGTTGGTGATGCTGAGCTCTTCAAATACAGAGAATAAGAGCCATATACTTCTCATAGCTTACCTAAGGTTTTTCAAATATCCAAGCACTATTTGTTTGGAAATGAAATGTTATGAAAAAGTAGTCTCTTAGAAATGGTAAGAGATGTTAAATCATAGTACAACAGGATAGGAAACCAAGCTACTTAAAATAATTAATGATATATACATGAAGTAGACAACTCTATTCTCTCTAATAGGGGTTAGCAAACTGTTCTCTAACGGGCCAGATAGGGGCTGGGCATGGTGGTGCACACCTGAAATCCCAGATACTTGAGAGGTAGAGATTGGGAGGATTGCAATTGAAGGCTGCTCTGGGAAAAAGTGTGAGACTCAAGGCTGAGGGCATGGCTCAAGTGATATTGTTGCTTGCCTACTAAGCATGAGGCCATGAGTTTAATCCCCAATACAGAAAACAAAACAAAATGAAACAAAACAAAAAGCCCTAGGGACCAAATACAGAAAATATTTTAGATTTTGTGAGCCATAATGTCTCTTTCATATATCCTTAACTCTGCTATTGTAGTATGATAACAGCCATAGATAATACATAAATGAGCATGGCTGTGTTCCAATAACAATTTATTTACAAAAACAGCTATCAGACTTGGCCCAGTAACTGTACTTTGCTAACACCTGATTTATGAAATAATGTTTTAAAATTACAGATTTTTTATAACATCCATTACTTAATTTTAATATGAAAAATAAGTTAAAGTTTAAGTACTGACTAGTAGGGCATTAATCTACAATTATATTCATATTTAATTGTATAGGGCCTGGTAGAATGAAATAAATCTAACCTGCCTCTGTAACTTGTCTTCTATGTAGTAATGATGTGTAGAATAACAGCAATGGACACACGAGAGAAATCTGTTTATCTATATGCTCTGTCTGTCTGTCTATCTATCTATCTATCTATCTTCCATCTATCCACCCATCTATCTAGATATACTTATTTAATATATGGAATAAAATTTAATTTATGTATTAACACCTGTTTTGCATGTAAAATTCATTAATAACTAATTGGTAAAATGAAAGTTTTCCAGGTATAATCATATGATTGATTCTGAAAAATGTGTAGTTATGTTGGGCACATTAAAATTTAATACCATCTGCATTTTCAGTTTATACTTGAAGTCTTACTCTTATAATTCTATAGTTTTATCAACTTTAAGTTAAGTCATATTGAAAAGTTCTTAAAATGCCATTCTTTTACCTTGCAGTCATCTGAAAGCACTTCAGGTTCAAGTAGAGTATTTTCTTCAAAAATCTGACCATTCCATCCTTTAAAACCAATGGATAATCCTGGGCCTTTTGTTTGTGCATTTGTCCACCTTGGGGTGTTGAGACAGTGAATGGTGATGACATGGGTGGCTTCTGAGCTCAGTAAATGAAGGAAGTTCATCTGGACTTTCCCAACTCCAAACTCCAACTAATGTCATGGAAACAATATTCATGTTATAAAATGTGGCAGCTTAGATGCATCTACTTTGGGGCAATGTAAGGAAAGTCTTTGAAAAAAGGCAGCCTGAGAGAAATACTTTTCTTAGAATTTAATTGCTATTCATGGTATGCTGGTAAATGTTTTAATCATTGTTTCTTGGGGGAAAAATCTCAAATTTATTTTCTGATTACTATGATGGCTAATTTCAGACTGCCAGGGTAATGCCACTGAACATGGACTTGGGAAAGATGTTGACAGTAGGTTCTCCCGAACCTTGGCTCAAGCATACCAGCAAGCCACTGCATATAATTTTCAAAAGTACAGATAATTTTATAATGCTACCTAAAATGCAGCAATAATTTATCTTAGGTTAATGCTTTATACATTTTTTTCATAAAAACCTGAAATTCTGTTTATGCCTTCATTTGAGATTTTTTTTTCATGAGCTTCCAAAGATAAGTTAAAAGTAATAACAACTTGGTTGAGTAATTTTAACTATGAGAGTCTGTAAGGATTAAGACAAAATGTTGTTTGTGTTGCCAACCCCTAAAGTAGTTCCAAATAGTGAGTCATCAATAAATGCTTATTTAATGAATGAATGTATAAACAAGTCTTAACTAACAAGATGAACAATATGTGGAAAAACTGGAGTTAGGATTGCACCTTTCCACACTTGGACCGGAAGTAAATGTTTCTATAGCTCTAGACATTATTATTATTATTATTATTATTCTAGCATTATTCAAATGGGGGATGTACATTATATAAGTAAATAGAAATGGCTCCTATTGAGGAATTTATATTAATCTTCAAACATAGAAAAATATCAATTATGAGATAATGGAGCGAGAAAAAACCAAACCAAAACAAAGCAGTAACAACAACAAAAAAGAAAACCACAATGTACTATTGGGTATGAACACTTGCTTAGCATACCCAGGCCTTGGATTTGAAGCCTAGCACCATGGAGAAAACAAAAGAAAACAGGAAAAGAGAGAAAATGCAAAACAAGGCCATTAGGATAAAAGCATAAGGATAATCATAAGGAACGTTAGTGCTTAAGTAATTTGGTTTCTTCATGTTATAGATCAAAATCAGAAATGTGGAAGACTTTAACTTTTTTTTTTTTTTTACTATATACTATCCACATTTTATTTTATTTTTTTCATTTTTCTTTTATTATTCATATGTGCATACAAGGATTGGTTCATTACTCCCCACTGCCCCCACCCCCTCCCTTACCACCCACTCCGCCCCCTTCCTCTCCCCCCCCCTCAATACCCAGCAGAAACTATTTTGCCCTTATTTCTAATTTTGTTGTAGAGAGAGTACAAGCAATAATAGGAAGGAACAAGGGCCCTTGCTGGTTGAGATAAGGATAGCTATACAGGGCATTGACTCACATTGATTTCCTGCGCGTGGGTGTTACCTTCTAGGTTAATTCTTTTTGATCTAACCTTTTCTCTAGTACCTGTTCCCCTTTTCCTATTGGCCTCAGTTGCTTTAAGGTATCTGCTTTAGCTTCTCCGCGTTAAGGGCAACAAATGCTAGCTAGTTTTTTAGGTGTCTTACCTATCCTCATCCCTCCCTTGTGTGCTCTCGCTTTTATCATGTGCTCATAGTCCAATCCCCTTGTTGTGTTTGCCCTTGATCTAATGTCCACATATGAGGGAGAACATACGATTTTTGGTTTTTTGGGCCAGGCTAACCTCACTCAGAATGATGTTCTCCAATTCCATCCATTTACCAGCGAATGATAACATTTCGTTCTTCTTCATGGCTGCATAAAATTCCATTGTGTATAGATACCACATTTTCTTATTCCATTCGTCAGTGGTGGGACATCTTGGCTGTTTCCATAACTTGGCTATTGTGAATAGTGCCGCAATAAACATGGATGTGCAGGTGCCTCTGGAGTAACAGTCTTTTGGGTATATCCCCAAGAGTGGTATTGCTGGATCAAATGGTAGATCGATGTCCAGCTTTTTAAGTAGCCTCCAGATTTTTTTCCAGAGTGGTTGTACTAGTCTACATTCCCACCAACAGTGTAAGAGTGTTCCTTTTTCCCCGCATCCTCGCCAACACCTGTTGTTGGTGGTGTTGCTGATGATGGCTATTCTAACAGGGGTGAGGTGGAATCTTAGCGTGGTTTTAATTTGCATTTCCTTTATTGCTAGAGATGGTGAGCATTTTTTCATGTGTTTTCTGGCCATTTGAATTTCTTCTGTTGAGAAAGTTCTGTTTAGCTCATGTGCCCATTTCTTTATTGGTTCATTAGTTTGGGGAGAATTTAGTTTTTTAAGTTCTCTGTATATTCTGGTTATCAGTCCTTTGTCTGATGTATAGTTGGCAAATATTTTCTCCCACTCTGTGGGTGTTCTCTTCAGTTTAGAGACCATTTCTTTTGATGAACAGAAGCTTTTTAGTTTTATGAGGTCCCATTTATCTATGCTATCTCTTAGTTGCTGTGCTGCTGGTGTTTCATTGAGAAGACTTTAACATTTTTGAGCCTCCATTTCCTTGCTGGTAAGTGGGGTTGCACTGGTCTGACAGGGTTGGTATAAGAAGTCAAAGGGACAAATGTAATTTTTCTAGCCTCATGCCTAATATACAGAGCAGGCCCTCTGGTGGCTCACAGTGTCACTCCTTAGGTTGCACTAGAACAGTCTTCCCAGTACTTACCTTCATGAGGTCGAGTTTATGGAAAAGATTAATGGGAGAACTGATTCAGTCACAGAAAGAACTGGAGTGCAGTTCCCTTACAGCTCTTATCTCCTTTGTACAACATCTTTCCTTCCCACAACTCCTTTCATTTTATGATAGTCTGAATGAACTCCGGGGCCAAATTACAGGGGTGTGAAGATGATAGTGTGAGTAATTTGGATGGAAGACTACCATGCTGCTCTTCATTAGAGGTACGTGGTTCCCTAGGAATAGGGAACCCTTCCTCCTCTGTTTTGGGGGAATACGTATTGACATGAAGTTAATGAAGGAGATAGTGGTTGAACAGTAAGCAGCTAGAGAATGTACTTTTTGGCTACTGCTTTTTAAAATAATGGACAAACACAAATGTATCAGTTCTTTGCCAATGACAAACAAATTCTTGGTAATATACCAAGCTGGTTTAATCAGGAAGAAAAGATATGCAGTTTTAATTTTCAATATATGTTATAAATAGAATTAGGTTTTAGGTATTTTAAAATAGTTGTTACTATACCCAGTGTTGTACCAAAGCAACATGCATTCATTTTAAATAGCTATATTTATGATAGTTATATTATTATATAAAATTATATTTGAAAATTTTTTTGGCACTAGTGAGGTTTGAACTCAGGGCTTTGTGCTTGCTAGGCAGGTACTCACTGCTTTAGCCATACCTCTGGCCCTTTTTGCTTTGGCTATTTTGCAGATATGATCTTTCTTTTTGCCCAGGCCAGCCTGGACTGTGATCCTCCTATTTTATACTTCCCACTATAGCTAGGATGACGGGTATGACCCACCATGTCCAGCTTTTATTTGTTGAGATGTGGGTCTCATAAACTCCCCCACTCCCAGGAGTGGCCTGGAACTGCAGTCCTCTTGATCTCATCCTCTCACATAGCTGGGATGACAGCATGCATCACCATGCCCAGCTATTGCTTGAGATGGGGAAAGGGGGTCTCCCAAACTTTTTCCCCAGGGTTGGTCTTGAGCCATGAACCTCCCAATTTCAGCCTCTCAAGTAGCTAGGATTGCAGGCATGAGTCACTGGTGCCCATCTTGAAAGAAGTTTTAAGTAGAATTCAGTGCATGTCTAAGGGAGGTTATTATGTGCCCAGTCACCAAAAATAGCAAACTTTTGTGGCAAGATTCTTCTTTCAATGATGATGATGATGTAATTGTCAGTGAAACTGTAGGTATCTGATTCCAATAATGAATACTGTAGTTGTTAGGGATTTTCTAATGTATGTGTATGCACAAAAACACAACATGATGCATAATTTTTCCAGGGATAAGGAAAAGATCAGTAGAATAAGCCAAGCCAAGCCAATTATAAAAACAAACAATCAAAATGTCAAGATTTACTGTGATTAAATATTTTTTAAAAACAAAAAATTTGTTTCTCATATATGATAGAGAATGAAGGATACTTCAGTTACATTCTTAAAATTCATATTTATTTAAGGGGATGGGATTTTTAAAATCATTGCTCATGGAAACTGTGCAACATACTAACACATGCTATATGCTAAAATTTAATACATACCCTTGTCACAGAAATAGGAGATAAACATGTCTGGCCACCAGCACTAAAATTGCAGAAAACCTCAATGGCATCTGAAGGGCATCCAAGATTTGGGTCAATCCAGTATTTTCCTATTAATTCATAGTAAAATACAAAGTTATTTAAATCTCATGCTAAATTATATATACTTATATATCATCACAACCTTATCTGTCAAAATACTTAGAATGTTCTATATTTGGTGAATGAATGAAAGTTACAAGAATTATGTAAAATTGATATGGAGAACTGTTTCTCATAATTTAAAGAAATTTCAAAATTCTAATCAAAATGATAGAATCCCTGAGTTTATTCTTCATACTACAGATAAGAACTAACCTAAAAGTGAATTGTCTAAAGCTATGTAATTAACAGAAAAGTTGAATTTAATGTAGTGTGTGTGTGGATTTCTGTTATGTACTGTTAAGAGTTTAAAATCAATGTTTTGTTTAAATAGAAACAATTTCAATCTCTCTAAGGAAAAAGATATCACTATGGGTAATACTGATGATTAAAAATAATAAAACTTTTTTATTTTCATAAAGAAGTGTACAATAAAACATGTGGTGCCTGACGTCAGACTGTAGGAAACAGCTGAAAAGTATTGCACTAGCATCCTAATTCCAGAATAAAAGATGCAGAATACTGAAATAGCTTCTTATTCCCAATACAAAGGACAGGAAACAAGGGAAGAATTTTTTAAGAAACATTTTTATTTGCAAATATTAGTTGTATAGGGGAGTTTCATAGAGCCATTTCCATATATGCTTATAATGTACCTTGGTTAGATTCATCCCTTCCATTATTTTCCTTTCTCTCTCCTCTCCCCTTCTTAAAAAACAATTTCAACAGGATTCATTGTTCTATTTTCATACAAGTATACAAAGCACATCAACCATATTCACTCTCAGTCTCCCTGTCCATTTTCCCCTCCCTGTCCCATTAATACCCACCCCGAAGGACAGGAATTTCTGAATGAGTCAGCTTTGCTTTCTTGCATGAAAAAGCAAAACAATAAAATGTTTTTTGTCGACTGTTACTTTTTATAATCGGCTGAGATCCTTTTCCATTCTACCTTTATCACATAGTAAATATTCAATCTGAGTTTCCTCTGACTTTCCAAACATTTGTGAATATTCTCTCCTCAATTATTTTAATAATCCTACAAAATGTACACTTGCTGAATTGGTAGCTCAAAGGGTAGGGACTGTTCTCTATTTCAGTGGTTTTCAAATTTCAATGTGCATCAAACCATCTGTCAAAATACACTCTGCTGGGCCCCAGCCCCAGAGTTGTTGATTCAGTAAGTCTTGGGTGGGGCTAGAAAATCTGTATTTCAAATAATATTTAATTCTGGTCCAGGGAGCACATCTGGAGAACCACTAATTTACTGAAATATGGAAGAAAGGGGTGAAGGACAACCACCCTTATTAGTCTCTTTCCTCAGAATTTTGAACATTTTATAAAGTTTGTAGAAATTACAGGCTGGATTTTTTCACCAGAACTAGCGGCTGGTGAATGCAGCCACTATGTTGTACAATAGTGAACTGGTAGGAGATTCATAATATCTTTCATGGTATGCTGGGCTATAAATAAGGTCCCATAGATAAGGTCCCATATATACAAGTCCCATAGATAAGATGTATATTATGATGCCATATCTTCTGCAAACCTAACTGCTCTAATTCAAAACTGGCTCTCTCCTGAGGGTACTGCTTTCCTAGTAGCTTTTTCAAATTCTGCCACAGTTTCTATAGTATAATGCCTGGAGGTAGAAAGGTGACTTTCTTGCTACATCCAGACTATTCTCCCATGTTGAAATGAAACATGTTCAATACTCCATGTTGAAATTGCTACCATGTTTTATCATCCACTACCCTTTCCTGGTGCAACCATTGAGTATTTTTCTTTGATAATTTTAGCTTCTGACTTAATTTCACCTTCAGAAAATCTATTCATGATCTAATTCTTGGTGATTTTAAATCCAATGAACGATGCTCCCAATACTCTGGCCCCTCAGTTCCGTGCACCGTACCCTCCCCAACTGCCTTTCTACCAGTGTCCTATACTTTTCCCTGTTCCCATGCCTTACCTTAACCATTAACTTCCAAGTCATATTTAGCCTTTCTTATCACCCACAACTCGTCTCCTCAGCAATTTCACCTTTCTTCTCTTTCTACTCATTGCCTCTAATGTCTTTAGTACAGTAATTTTTATTCCTTCAGGACCCACTATCCATTGATATTATCCGTTTTCATGTTCCTCATGATCATGTGTTCCCTTCCTTTTTTACCCAGCTTAAGGCCCATAGTCCTTTATTATAATTATTTCCTCAGATGTCTCAACTCCCTTGCCCAACTTCATTTGTCTTATAAAACTCCAACCCTACATAAATTCAATTTTTTGCCTAATTAGTGAAAAATAAAAACTATGTTGACTGGATTCATTTTAAATTAAATTTATTTTATTTTTGGTGATAGTGGGGTTTGAACTCAGGGCCTCACGTTTGCTAAGCAAGTGCTTTATCACTTGAGCCACTCCACCAGCCCTTTTAAATTTAAATATGTCATGTGTTTATAATAACATATTTGCCAATAATATTATGTTTCCCTAATTCATTCCATCCGTCCCTTTTCTAGATAACCATATTATACCTGTTTCCCATTCTTATTCTTATTCTTGACTGATAAACCTTCCAAGTTCATTGACAACTGAAGCAATCTGAAGAAACTTATACAAGTTCCTCTTACAACAGCTACCCAATTATCTGTATGCAGATAATTGTGTTCTTATCTAAGATGCTTATCATGTCTATTATGCCTTCAGATTTAAATTCTGCTTGTCTTATTCTCGCTTACGAGTTTGTTTCTCTTGTCTTCTGTTTCTGCCAGTTATTATTTATGATTTTTATCAGTTTTTGTGTCTGGTTATTACTGATTGTATGCTTGGCACTGTATATCTGGAATTATTTGTGGGAATAAGTTGAGCCCTAGAACAGGAGATATTTGTTAGTTTCAGCTAGGCGTGTCAGAGTACCTGCAGTTTGGAACATTTTGATCTTAGTTCAAAGTGTAAGATTTTCTGAGCTATCTAGATGATGCAAAGTGAGGCTTTACACCACCTATATGAGTATCTGTTTTATCCCGGTTTGTCTTCACTCCCAGACCTCAGCCCTTTGAAAGTCTAACTGTCCACTTTTGGTGGGCCACAAATTCCAACTTTTAACCCCTACCCTCAGGAAGCCACCAATAGCACTACTCAGCTTCTCAATATATCCAGGGAAAGAGTAGTTTTAAGTAATGAGTTCATCTCTCTGCTGTCTTCAAAATCTTTAAAAATATTTTGCTATTTTATGCTTATAAATGAAAAAAAGTTATTTAGATAGGTAATTTAAATGACTTGTTTCATTACTGGGATGGGAAGTCCCTGGATCTATCATTCTTAAAATGTCATGAGGTTTTAACCACTACTCTTTCTTTAAATTGCCCTTGGTGAAGATCATCAGTGATCTCTACATTGCTAAATCTTACAGCCTTGCTCAGCCTTCTCTTTGCTTGACATTGATCCAGTGATCTATTACTCCTCTAGACATTTTCTTTGATTTCTGAGACACCACATTCATCTAGTTTTCCTCTTGTCTTAGGGGCAGCTTCTTCCTAGTTTTCTTGGTTAGTTCCCCCATCTTCATCTCTAAACATTAGCGAGTCCTAGGGCACAGTTTTAGACCTTTTCTCTTTTCTTTCTTTACCTACTATCTAGGTAATCTCAATTAGCCAAGGTATTAGATGCCATTTATATGTGAATGACTTCATAATTTTTACCCCTAGCATCAGACCTCTCTCTTGACCTCTTACTGGAATAACCAACAATCTACTAGACAGATTTATTTGAATATCTAATAGAAATCTCAAACTATATATCCAAAATTGAACTCCTGATCTTTAGTTCAATTTTGCTTCTCCTAAAGTTTTCTGTGTCTCTATTTGTAGGAACTTTGCCCTTTTATAGTCCAAAACCTTAGACTCATCTTTTACCATTCTGTCCCTCTCATAGTTCACATCCTATCTATCAACAAAAACTGCAGGCTCTATCATATAGCATATCCAAAATTTTAATAATTTCTGTCATCAACTCTAGTCTAACATATTATCATTCCTCCTGGATTATTTTAATAGCTTTCTCTGTTTTCCCCATTTCTACTCTTTTCTTTATTATATTTGTAATACATCATCCATATCAAATTACGTCATTCCTTTGCTCAAAAAACTCTAGTCATTTCTCAAATACTGGAGATTTTGAGAAGGTACTACATAATCTGGTATCTTGATATATTTTTGACTGAGTTTCCTAGTACTCTGTCATTTAGGCACTCTCTTCCAGTCACACTGACCTTCTTGCTAATCCTGGAATGCACTAACTACATTCCCAGGCTCAGAGTTTTTGCATTTGCTCTTTCTGCCTAGAAAGCTCCTTCCCTAAATTTTCTGGTGGTTTGGTCCCTTACCTCCTTCTGATAGTACTCAAGCCACTTTCTCAGAGATACCTTTTCTGACCAGTCTACTTAAAACTCCACTCCACTTTCTATCATATCTTCCTTTCCAGCTGTTTTGTTTCTCGATAGCACCTATCATCTCTAGTGATGAAAGTTACTGAGGGCATAAAGACCTTTCTGATATTCTATAATTCACATTACATAGCTATTTATCCTGCACAAAAGGTAGACCTTGCATTTGGCTTCATACTAATTTTGCATGTCTTACAGTACCTTTATTATTTTCAACTGTATAGAATTTCATTTATGCTCTCGAATATGGGAAAGAATTAATCTTAGGATTATTATAGGCAGTTACAATTATAAATGCTACTTTAGTTTCTATATTAATCTAGGATAGAAAATCTATAGAAGTTAAATATTTTACTGTTATGAATAAAATGAATATTTCCACTGTACTTTTAGAATGAAAGCAGAAGTTTTTAGAGAATATGTAAATATTTGTGGTAAGGATGTATGGATATATAAAATTAAAATTATGACCACTACTTACCTTATAGAATGACATAGCATAGTTTTTTCAAATCAGCATATGGTCAATATGTTGTGACTAGAGTTCTTTTTTTATTGTTGTGCTGGGTGGGGGTACATTGTAGCATTTACAAAGGTTCTTACAATGCACCAAATATATCATACTTGAATTCACCTCCTCCACTGCTCTCTTTCATGTGACTAGAGTTTTTAACAAAAAATAATATAACACTGATAGTACAGTTGACCACAAACCAAATAGACTTTAACTGATTCCAGAATGGGGCATTTAAATTCCATTTTCTGTAAAACTATTCTGTTAGGGGAGTAGTAGACATCTTTCTTAGTGTTGTCAATTTTGATAGTCCTAAATTATAAAATGACAGACAGGTGCTTCTATCTGCCAGCCACAAGGTCAGCCTTACCTATTTAAATTTTTGTTGCAAATGTGTTCATTCCAAACACAAAGTACAAGCAAAGGATATAGTGAGGAATAGGGTGATATCAGAACTATGTTTTCCTCAAGAGTATTTTCTTGGTGGTTCTGAGGTTTGAACTCAGGGCCTTTTGCTTGCTAGACAGGAACTCTACTACTTGAGCCATGCCCCCAGCCTGAGTATTTTGTTTTTGATGGCATTAAAATGTATTTTGTCAGTGTTTTATCAAAATGACATTCATTTTCAAATTCATTACAAATTACAAATTTCAAATGCCCTAAATTGATGAAATGAAGTTAGACATCAGAGTCTGAGGAAGCCAAGAACTTACCATCTGAGACTTTGTGTTCACAGTTGAGCAAATCTTTGCAGATTCGTGCTGGGTTATCTCGTGTGCCAAGAGGATTCTTAATGCTATGCAGTAAATTAGTAAGGTAGCTCAGTGTTTTGAATATCTCTGCACTGTGGTCGATTAAAGTCACTTCAGTATTCTGGTAGCTCTGCCAAGTCATCATAAGAATTATATAAACAATTACCCAAATGAGCATCATGGATCAAGGCAGAAGAAAAATGTTACTAATTTTATATAGTAAGCCAGGAATAGGATGTAAGGAATAGTTTACATTTAAGCATAGGCATATGTGTATACTTCAGTAGTCTTGATACTAAATAAGAGACTAAAGTCACCTTTGAAATTTAGTTTTCAAATTGATATGACTTAAAGAATTATTCCTATTGTATGATTTTAAAAATATACATTGAATAATTAGAGTTTAAATAAGATAAACAAGTAGTGGTAGTAGATTCCATTTTAAGAAATACGGGTAATTTCATGGATTTTTTCAGTACAACTAAATTCCTTATGAACAAGTTCTTTAAGATGTTTGTTTTAAGTATTTTCTATTTAATTATAATTTGTCCTTGAAAATAGTTTCAGAGTTTTGAATACAGTCTTTGAGATAATGTCACATTTTGGCCTCCAAAAAGTTCCTGTGTTCAATTTGTATATTGAGATTGCCAGTGTAAATAAAACCTGATATATTACCTCCATCTGCAGGGCAGCATTTGATTCAATCAAGGCTTGAATAGCAGCATTGATATCCATTTGTTTCTGTGTAAAACAAAACCACTGAGATCAGCACTAAGATCAACATTGGGGGCTCTAAAATAAAGGCTGTTAATTCTGAAAGCACTTTCACAGAGTTATCTGAGAAAGGGGTTTGTAACTCTTGTGGGTAGACAGATCTTGCAGATATTACCTAGCTATCTGAAAAACAATATGCTGCCTTCATCCTGATCTCAAAAGTCTCCTAATTAAAACAGGACTCAAGTCGAAAGCCCTCAAATGAAAAACTAGTTGTTCCCACTGCATGAAAACACACATACACCATTACTCAAATGGAAGAAGAATGAAATATGATCCTCTCACTTAATAAATTGGAAAGTGAATAAATAACTGTTGTAATTTTTAATAGTTACATTCTTGGAAGGAAAATAGAATAAAATACTACTGTCCTGAGGTAGTCACCACATTAGTTTAATCTGATACTTCTGTGGTCTTAAAAACAGTTTCTGAAGTTGGAAAATGTACTATTAGTCCCAAAAGAAATAATACAACATGAATCCAATCTGTTCCTGAATTTAATAAAAGATATTTTTAGAGAAAAACTCAGTGTAACCATTAGTAAAAGTCTTTTTGTAATTTTTAAAACATAATAAGCTTGGAAATTAAGAAGCACAGCTGGAAGAAGGCTCAGGGAAACCGCGTCTGTGTAAGTGAACCAAGCAATCTAACTTCTTTCAGAACGACTGTACTGCTAAGATATCTCCTACTTCGTGGACCATACAATAGAAGCTGTTTTCAACAGATCTCATAAGTCGTGGCTGGTAACATGAAAAACTACTGAAGATGATGGAACAATCAATAGCGTGTACTCTCCCTTGCCTCAACATGTGGTTTTCATATTGGAAAAGAATTGACTCATTCTGCATGTATACACTGCCAAACACTGTGATACATATTGAGAATAAAATGGTAAGCAAAAACAAAACTTGCCCTAGTGGAGCTTAAGATCAGAGAGGACACAGGCATTAATCAAATCATCAAAAATACATAATTACAAATCGTGATGTGTGCTATGAAAGAAAAGTGCATAGACATATCAGAGAAGTTAGGGAGTCAATCAAATATGGAGGATATAAGAGATTGGTCAGGGAATGCTTCTTAGAGACAGTGACATCTGTGCTGAAATCTGAAGAATAAATAGAAATTGATAAGAGAAGGGGAAAAAAGCTTCCCAGGCAGAAGTAACCACCTTGCACAAATTCCATGAGATATGACTATTCAAAATCAGAAAGAGATAGCCTAACATCTCTGCAGATCAAATATTTCCCACCATTTTGTCGTGTGAATGGGCAGATTTTGGATATTGGCCACACAAAAATATTTGCACCAAACATGGGAAACTGAATTGAATGCTAAACAACAGTCTCCTTTATACTTCTACTTGGTTCCCTGTTGGTGGTTTTGTTGCTGTTGTTGTTTTGTTTTTGAGACAAAGTCTGACTGTGTATCCCAGGCTGGCCTCTAACTCAAAATCTTCCTGCCTCAGTCTCCTAAGTGCTGGGATTACATGTGCCACTATGCTTGCATCTGTTAGTGATAAAAAGCATTAACTATGTCTAGCATAGACGTTCTCAAACTCTCCAGAATCAGAACTTTTTGTAGTTTTAAACATTGAATGTTTTAAAGAAACTTTTGCTTATATGAGTTATAATTTTTATATTTACCAAAGCATAAATATGTATATATTACATATCTTATATATGTATATTACATATTTATATGTATATACTGGAGTTTGAATTTAGAACCTTGTGTTTGCTATACAAGCATTTTACCACTTGATCCACACCTCCAGCTAAAATTTAAAACTGTGTTGAAATTGCTTAAAATAACAATAAATCTGTTATATGTTAACATAAAGTATTTTTATGATAAGCCACTGTTTTTTCCAAAACAAAACAGTGGCTACATAATAAGGTTTCACTGTGATATCTCCATACATGAATATAATATACTTTGGTCATATTTACTCTGTCTATTACTTTTTTGATCTCCTCTCTCTCACCTTTTGAAAAATAACTTCAATGGGTTTCATTATTGTATTTTCATCATGCATATAATGTACTTTAGTTATATTTACCCCACTATCACTTTCTCTTTTTGCCTTTCCCCTTCCTGCCGGTTATCCCATCAAACAGTCCTCCTTTTACATTCATGTGATTTTTTTTTTAGGTCTAGATTTTGCATATCAGAGAAAGCATGTGGTATTTGTCTTTCTGAGTCTGGCTTATTTCACTTAACTTGATGATCTTCAGTTCCATCCATTTTTCTGCAGACAATATAATTTCATTTTACTTTACGTATGAATCATATTCCATTGTGTATATGTACCACATTTTCTTTATGCATTCATCTGTTTATAGGCACCCAGCTGACTCCATAGCATGGCTATTGTGAATAGTACTGCTATAAACATGCATGTGCAGGTGTATCTATTTTCTGCTGACTTATATTTCTTTGGATATATGCCTCGGAGTAGTATAACAGGATTATACGGTAGTCCTATTTTTAGTATTTTGAGGAACCTCTATGCTGACTTCCAGAGTGGCTGCACTAATTTTCATTCCCACCAAGTGTATAAGGGTTCTTTTTCTCCTGCATCCTTGCCAGCATTTGTTATTGTTTCCTCAATGACAGCCATTCTGTCTGTGATCAGATGGAATCTCAGTGTTGTTTTGATTTGCATTTCCTTTATGTGTCAGAATGAAGGATGTTTCTTCATGTATTTGTCATTTGAACTTCTTTTGAGAACTGCCTGTCAATTCATTAGCCCATTTATTAACTGGATTATTTGTTCTTTGGTGTTTAATTTTTGGAGCTCTTTATGTATTCTGGATAATTAATCCTTTGTCCAATGAATAGCTGGCAAAGAAATTCTCTGATTGTATAGGCTATCTCCTCATTCTGGTAATTGTTTCCTGTGATATAATGTAATTTGATGCAATATCATTTGTCAATTTTTGCTTTTATTTCCTGAGCTACCAGAGTCCTATTCAGAAAGTCATTGTCATTGCTTATCCTTTTATCTTCAAATGTTTTCCCTATTTTGTCCTCTAGTAGTTTCAAAAGTTTAAGTTTACATAAAGGTCTTTCATCCATTTAAAATTGACTTTTGTACAGGGTATGAGATAGGTATCTATTTTCAGTCTTCTATATGTGGATATTCACTTTTCCTAACACTCTTTGTTGATGAAGCTTTCTTTTTTTGAATGTATGTTTTTGGTGTCTTTGTTGAAAATCAGATGAGGGTAGCTGTGTGATCTTATTTCAGGGTCTTCTATTATATTCCACTGGTCAATATATCTATTTTGTGCCAGTAACACACTGTTTTTGTTACCTTGGCTCTGTAGCATAATTTGAAGTCAGGTTTTATTGTACCTCCAGTATTGCTCTTTTTTGCTTAAGATTACTTTGGCTATTCAGGTCTTTTATGCTTCCATATAAATTTTAGGATTAATTTTCCTATTTCTATGAATAATGACTTAAGAATTTTGATAGGGAGAGCATTGAATGTGTAGATTGCTTTCAGTAGTATATCCATTGCACTATTATTTCTGCTTATCTTTGAACATGGGTCTTTTTTCTGTCTTCTAATGTCTTCAGTTTTTTTCTTCAGTGTTTTATAGTTTTCATTATAGAAGTCTCTCACCTCTTAAGTTTATTCCTAGGTATTTCATTTTTTGAGGTTGTTATGATTAGAATTATTCTCCTGATTTCTTTCTCAACCTGTTCATTGTTGGTATTTAGAAAAGCTACTTTTTTCTTTATGCTGGTTTTGTATCCTGTTACTTTGCTGAAAGTGTTTATCAGATATAATAGTTTTTTTGACAGTCTTTAGGGTCTTTTAAGTATAGAATCATATATACAAATAGAGATAATTTTACTTCTTCTTTTCCTATTTGTATCCATTTTACTTTTTTTTCTTTCTTTACTGCTCTGGCTAAGAATTTAGCATCATATTGAATAAGAGTGAAGAAAGTGGATACCCTTGTCTTATTCCTGACTCCAGAGGAAATGCTTTCTGTTTCCCCATTTAGTATAATGCTGGTTCTAGGTTTATCATATGTAGCCATTATTATGTTGTGGTAATTCCTTGTGTTTCTAGTTTCTTTTTGTGGCTTTTGTTATTAAGGGATGTTGAATTATTTCAAAGGCTTTTTCTGTATTTATTGAGATGATCATGTGATTTTTGTCCTTTGTTTTGGTCATGTGCTGTATTATGTTTACTGATTTGTATGTTGAACCATCCTTGCATACTTGGAATGAAACTAAATTGATCATAGTGTATAATCTTTTCAATGTGTTGTTGAATTCCACGTGCAAGTATTTTATTAAGAATTTTTGCTTCTATGTTCATCAAGGAAATTGGTCTGTAATTTTCTTTTTTTGTTGTGTCCTTATCCAGTTTTGGTATCGGGGTAATACTGGCCTCATCAAATGACTTTGGTAGTGTACCTTCTGTTTTATTTATTTTTTCTGTTTTGTGGAATCATTTGAAGAGCACTGATGCTAGTTCTTCCTTAAAGGTCTGTAGAATTCGGTGGTGAATCCATCAGAGCCCTAGGGTCTTCTTTGTTGGGAGACTCTTTATTACTGCTTCAACCCCATTGCTCAATATAGATCTATTTGAGTGGTTGGTATTCTCCTGCATCGATTTAGGTAGGTCATGTGCACCTAAATATTTATACATCTGTTCTAGATTTTCTAGGTTATTGGAATATAAGTTTTCCAAATACTCATGAATGACCCTTTGGATTTCATTGGTATTTGTTGTGATATCCCCTTTTTCATCTCTAGTTTTATTAATTTTGGTATTTTCTTTCTTTTGGTTCTAAGAGTTTATCAATCTTGATTATCTTTTTAAAGAACCACTGTTTATCTCTGATTCTTGGTGTCCTTCTTTTACTCTTAAGTTCATAATTTCTGCCTCAGTTTTATAATTTCTTTCTGTCTGCTGCTTTTGGGTTTGCCTTCTTTTCCTAAGA